CACAATTTCATACTAAATTTAAAAACTATAATTAGTATTTATTCATATATTATATTTTAAAATCAAAGAACTACTAATCAGGATATAATTAAAGAAATAAGAGTTCATGTTGCTTTTAAAATATTTCACCAATTTCTCTAAAGGAAACACTATCTACAGATTTGCATCGAAGCGTTTCTTATGATAGTGATTTTAATCACTGTCAGATATCATCTATACTTATCTCATCTATGCCACGTCTATACTGTGCCTCGACCCCACTGTGCTACCGTTTTTTTTTTTGGTTTTTTTTTATATGTTAATACTTGTTTTTAATTAATTATTAATAATACCAAAATGCTGATGGAATAATGTAATTGCAGATTGGAAATCAGCAAGGAAAATGGGTTTTGGAAAGTATATTTTTGACTCATATGAAAATTCCTTGTAAACCCTTCAATTTTTATAACGCATTTGCCATAAAAGTAACAACCACTTTATAATTTATACTACTTATAAATCATAGATCAACTAATTAGGAATAATGAATGAAATAGGAGTTAAATTTGCTTTTGGAATAATCCACCAATTTCTTAAAATTAAACACCTTATACAGATTGATATCAAAGCGTTTTTTTAAGATAGTGATTTGAATCATTTTCGGATATCATCTATACTTGTCCCAACTATACCACGTCCCACTGTGCTGCAACACCACTGCGCTACAGTTTTTTTAAGTGGTTATGATTAAATGATAATACATAGCATATATTTAATTTATTATAATTATAAATGGGTGTAAACCCTTTAACAAAAATATAATAAATTTAAATTAATTAGAGTATATTAATAAATATATTTAAAAAAAAGTGAGTAGTTGTCGAATGCCTAGCAAATTTGATATACTGAAACTATTTGAATATAAAATATTAAAGGAAAATAAATATTTTTAAATATTGAGAAATCTGAATTCTTTTGATTAGTTATTATTATAATATTAATATTCGATGTTGCCTTAGATAGTAATACATTTTTTTGTGACAATTTTTCAACGATTTTCACTAAATTTATATGTTTCTAATCTACATTATAAATAAAAAATCACACATATTTGGAATATTTTGGCAATGCACTCTATAAAGTAGAGAAAAATGATTTATAATATTTAAACTAATTTTATCTTCCATTAGGTAAAGCAGACTATTGCCTTAATTATAAGGGAGGTAATAGAAATTTTTTAATAATAAGAACAATTTAATTAATTGAGATCTGAAAAATTCATTATTAAACTTCTGTAAACTGACAAAATGTGATAATATTACCTAGTGATACGGTCATTAGGGGTATATAAGGAATTTTTTTTTCAATAAAGGTGTCAGTATATATTTAGCATTGATAATAATAACATTGTTCCAAAAATAAGTATCTGCAATTATTTTGTGATTCTTTTGGTTAAATATTGTTTATATTTATTTTAGTTTTATATTAATATTTTTAATGTAATTTTTATTTTAAACATAAAATAAATTTAGCTCTCTCGTACACAATTGCCTAAAATCCAATCATTAAAGGTATTAGTATTATTATTTACCACATCAATCACACAGTGGTGTGGTAAACAAAAAATTATTACGGAAAGGGAAATAATTTATTTTTTACTTTCAAAAAATGCTTTACATCGCTATTTAAAAAAACTCCAATAAACAAAAAAAAAAGCAACAAGATTATAAAATCAAACATCACTAATTATTTTATAAAATATTTATTTATATTTTGCATATAATAAATCCAATTTGAGAAGAATTTTAAAAACACTTTGTATATTATACACAGAATTTCCCACTATGTTTCAAAATCTTTAATAATTTTTGAGCTAACTGATATTTTTCATTACTTTGTTTAAAAATAATTTAAAAAATAGAACTATGTTAAAAGCATATTTTTTATTATTTTAATCTAACAAGAAAAATAAATTTTATTTTTATTTTTTTTAAATTTCTAAATAGCCTTTGTTATAAAAAAATTTTGATAGGTTGCAAACTTTAGGATAAGTACTTAATGAGTTACAAGCACTTAATTACATAAAATGGGTATGTAATATAGATGGAATACACAGTAACAATATACACCAATATGATCTGTACTCAATCATGTAACTGAATAAATACTTATCCTTTTTATTTTAGTCATTTGTTTCATAAAATATAATGAAAATTAATTTATACTTTTCCAAAATGATTTATGACACTATCAAACCAAGAAACATGTTTTGAAACATTGGTGACATCCATTGGTAATACAAGTATGTCATTAGCACTTAATTTTCCACCACTGATTTCTAATAAAAATATAAATAATTCTAAAATTTGTTAGAAAGCTAAAAAATAATAAATATATCACCTAAACAATGATTTTTTACTTGAAGTAATTTTTCTTTATTTCTAGCAGATAATATGAGTTTAGATCCAGATTTAGATAATTGAAGTGCAATATGTTCTCCAATACCACTTGAAGCACCAGTTATCCAAACCACTTTACCTTTTAATGTATCTATCAACATATAACATTTATGTATCTAACTCAATTGGTATGATACTATGCGTTGGTGCATAGATACCATTGTGATAAACTATGTAGATTTTCCCATCATCTCTTGTGTAAGCATGAGCTTTTAAAAAGGATGTTAATCATGATCAAGACAAAACATAAAAAAGGTAACTCAAGATTGAAGTCATCAAATTATAAAACAAAATCAACAAAATTTCAAAAAAACAAATTATAAGAACACTAATAATAAATCAAAAATTATAAATATTTTTTTTGCTCATTTTTATGATTCTTTTTTAATTAACCGTAATTAATGCTATTTTTGATTTTTGAGTAATCTGGTTTGACTTCTTTATTAATTATGTACTAACTATTTCCTAATATTAAAAAAAAATTATTAATAAAAATAGATTTATCTTTTTTCTGCTATTAGTAATACATGTAAAAACTATGAAATATATACTTCTTTAATACATAGTATCATATGGTAAAAAACCATTGAACTTAATTTCCTTGAAATTTAAAAAATAGTAACTTATAGCTCTTGCATTGTAATATGATGATTCATGTCAAAAATTTCATAAATACCTTTTTATATATAAAAAAACACAGTAATAATCTTCAAAGCCTATTTCACAACTTTTGTTGTTATAAGTATTTTCAAAATTCAATGATTGAACTTTCAACTTTTTTACAGCAAAAATCAAATTTTTTACAGATTTTGTTCAAATGAGACGTTTGAGTATTGATATAATAATATTGATGAGAAATTTAAGAAACTAGCTAATCACAAACACATTAATAAAATATAGGTATAAAATTCTTACCGAGCTTATTGCTAAACATGTTGTACCACCACAGTTCAAAATCAGAGTCACCAGTAAAAAATAAAATGAAATACATAAAAAATTTTATCACAAAAAAAAATCCTATCAAACTTAAGAAACTCATAGTGTTGTATTTAAATAAAAAGTCGAAATAAAAATGTTTTATAGGCAATACATTAATATAATTTATATTATAAAAAACTCTAGCAAACGATAAACTATAAACTGAATTAAAATAACTTATGTTATAAGAAAATTAAGAATGATTTCATACATAGAATATTATATATTATTTATTAATATATATTGTCACAGCAAAAATGTGGATGGTTTTTATATTATCAATATCACTACATGTTAGGCATTTCAAGGTAATTTAGGAAGACCTGATAAATAAATAATTAACGCCCATCCATTAGTAATTTTACACAAATGGATCAAAGAATGTGATTGGACAAATCTTAGATGACAGCTATCATATAATTTCATTCAAGATAAAAACACCAGTTTAAGTGGACGTTCTAGTGAAAACGATACGCATACAACGCTCCAGAGATGGCGTTGTGTTCCATATCGGCGGTAAGGTCACACCGTCAGCCCCACTACCACCTGTAGCATCAATGTCTTATGAATCGTTGTAAATTGGTCCAGTGTTGTTGCAATCATGGTAAAGTGCATAAGAAGTATACTCTATTATAGTCCGCATTTTTATCGTATTACACGCATATTAATCGCCTTGTGTTTTTATCCATATGGATACAATCGACAAAACACGATTACTGTCGAATGCACTTTAAAATTACGTTTTTTTCAAATTGAAAACTCTGATATGACATGATAATAATTCATTATTTTAAAATTGTGCATCTATTAATAAATATCTACTTTTTTTTCGTCGCCTTAATTCCTACTACTTGGGGTCAGCCACCCTTATCCTAATCTTCCACTTGACACGATCTCCCACATCCTCTAAGCTCACATCAGCTGTCCTCATATCGCATTCAATAACATCTCTCCATCTCTGTTTTGGTCTTCCTCTACCTCTTCTTCATTCAACATTCATTTCTACAACTGTTCTTACGGCTTCCGATTATTCTCTTCTTATAACATGACCAAACCATCTAAGTCTATTTTCTCTCATCTTATCCACGATTGACGCTACACCTATACTCCTTCTTATATACTCATTTCTTATCCTATCTTCTCTAGTGACTCCATTCATCCATCTAAGCATTTTCATCTCCGCTACACTAATTCTCTGCTCTACTTTCTTGTCAACCGCCCAACAATCTGAACCATACATCATAGATGGTCTCACTACCACACACATCGATAGTCCTTAGGAAAAACTGTCCAAGTCAAAGTATCTAAATATATAAAATTTTAATATGGCACGCCTATAGATGTTAAAAAATGTTGTCGTTTAAAACGAATTGAACAAAACTTATTTGAATTGAGACTTTCATTTGAATTTTACTTTGTATTTATAACTATCTCAAATATTGTACACCTTTATTATTTTCCTTTTCTCATTAATGCCCACTTTAGAACCTCTCTTGGTACTCTATTATATGCTTTTGTAGCGACTATGGAATGATCGAGAATCTTCGCGACGGATAGGCAACACAAAATGCATATACGCGCGAATGTTCTCGATCGCTCCGTAAGAGAATCTTCTAGAACTCAACACAATATAAAACGACGCGACGTAACAATAACGTCAATCAGTTAGTTAGCCAGTCGTCAGTTAATCGATTAAATAGTTAAGTACACGTAGTGCTTTAATATAATTTTTATATAAATTTTCTTAGTGTTTTAAACAATAAACCGTCTACATTTTTTCTGTTATATAAATTAGTGTTTTTATTTATTTTAAATCAATAAGTGAAGCACTAAAAATTAGTGACCTCGACAAAGGAAAAATGGTAGACAAAACAACACCAGAAAAAGCAGATAATATCAATATAGTTGATTATATAAGTACAAGATTTCAAGAACTCAGAGAAATGTTAGGAATTAGATATATAATAATTAGATTTATAATTTTTATTAATTAACTATGTACGGGTGTATTGTTTAAGGGGAAGTGTTGATACTATTAAATAAAACACTGGGTACAGTATTATTATTTAAGATAACAATTTAATGCATTTTTACTTATGATAATATAGTACAAGGTCAAAGGGACAAATTCCTTTCTCGATTATGTTGTTTTTTTCAATGCAGCCTATTGTAACATGTTTACAGTTTAGTCGTAGTTCTGAGGGGGGGGGGTTGAATCCCCCCCTCGGAACCTTTTAATAGTTAATAAACTGAACTTTAAAGTTTAATAATTTACATAATAATACAGATAACTCTCTAAACATATTTATATTGTAAAATATTATATTATTTTATAATCCAGAAATTGTGTAGATACGAATTCTAATGGCGTATACGTCATTAGCGATTAATTGTAAACGATTGACAGACGACGATAACATGTTGAAATTTGGAATTATTATCTGTATTACCGTTTTTCAAAGAACGTTATCGGTATTCAGTATCTCCAATAATAATATTATTAATAACTTTATTTTATACAACAAAATCGTTTATTTTTTTTTTTTTTTTTCATAGTTGTATGTACATGTTATCTTGTACCGCCTGCTTGAGCATTGCTCAATTGAGCAATGCGAATTTTACTATGTAAGGTGTAACTCTGTGTTGAGACGTCCTATGAACAAAGTTATTAACTATTAAGTGGTGATATTTCTATTGGAAATTAATATAATACTCGTATTTATTATAATTTATTTATATTTTCTATAAAATGTCAACTCGTAAGAGCAAATGTGCTAATACTTTAACAAACTATTTTAATAAAAAAATAAAAACAACCCATGACGGAAATGAAGTCTGTACTTCAAGTCCAATATTGACTGCAATCACACCAGGTACAACAGAAAAATCTAAGAGTGATGTAGCTGATATTGGTTGCTGCTTTGATCAAAAGGTTAGTGATGAATTAAAATATAAGTTACTTTCTAATGTTTGGATTCCTGATGAAAAGTTTAAATTTCCTATATCAGGAAATAGAAAGTTAAAATTTCAATTAAATTGGATTAATCGATTCCCTTGGTTATGTTACCCTAATATGCAAGGTTCTGGAGCGGTGTGCAAATATTGTGCTATATTTTACCACAATTTTACCGGTAAAGGTGCACATCAAAAACCCGGCGTATTAGTAACAAAACCATTCAATAAATGGAAAAATGCAATTGAAATTTTTAGCACGCATAAGGACACAGAGTATCATAAAAACAACGTTTTTTTTGCTGAGAATTTTATTTCCATATATTGCAACAAACAGTTACATATTTGTCAAAAAATTGATTCGGCACGTGCTAATCAAATAGTTGAAAATAGAAAAAAATTAACACCAGTTATTCAAACAATAATTTTGTGTGGTCGTCAAGAATTGGCTCTTCGTGGTACATCTGATTCTGGACCACTCACTTTAAATGAGCCAGTCCAAAATGATGGTAATTTTAGAGCTCTTTTGCGAATGCGAATGAACTGCGGTGATAAAATGATGACTGATTGTATTGAAAATGACGCATTTAAAGCTATGTATTTAAGTCCTACTATTCAAAATAATTTAATTGATATAATTGGAAAAATAATTCAAAATTGTTTAGTGGATAGAATCAATAGGGCAAAATCATTTTCAATTTTAGTAGACGAGACGACTGATATATCGCGAATTGAACAAATGTCACTTTGTATTCGATATATCGATGAAGATCCTGAACATCAATTCATTTTACGTGAAGATTTTTTAAAATTCGTGTCGGTAGAAAATACGACTGACAAAAATTTAGCCAATATTATTTTAGGTAGTATTAAATCTCTTGGAATAAATCCGAAGTATATGGTAGGACAAGGATACGATGGGGCGGCTGCAATGAGCGGAAATTTCAAAGGAGTGCAAGCAATTATTCGAAAAGAATATCCGACCGCGCTTTACGTACACTGTAGTGCTCATTCTTTAAATTTGGCTCTCTCTCATTCCTGTAGTATTCAACATATTCGTAACTGTATTGGTACCGTCAATTGGTGGGAAATTTCATTAAAGGTTCAGCAATGCGAACCGAAATTTTAAAAAAATACATCAAAGAACAATTTCCTGAGTCTAAGTGGACCAAACTTACATCAATGTGCGAGACACGTTGGGTAGAAAATCACGACGGACTAATAAGATTTACAGAAATTTATAAGGCAATTGCTAATACATTGGAAGAATTACAATTCACTCGTGATATTGAAACGTCATCAAAAGCATTACAATTTGGAAAATCTATTATAACCAGTGATTTTGTAATAAGTATGGTCTCAGCATCTATACTTTTTTCCTTAACATTGCTACTGTGTAAGAATTTACAGTCTGTAAATTGTGATTTGACCGAAGCAATAGCGTATGTTGATATTGTGCTACACGAAATAAATGATATGCGAAGTAATATGGATAATACATTTTCCAATATTTTTAAAAAAGCTGAGGCTCTTATAAAATCAATTGATTACGAAGAATGTATAAGAATACCTAGAGTTATTGGACATCAAAAAAATCGAAGTAATATTGTCGTGAATTCACCTGAAGAATACTACCGTATTACAATAGATATTCCTTTTTTTGACGACTTCATTGAACAGCTTCAAACAAGGTTCAATAATCATAAAAAAATAATTTCTTCATTGCACAAGTTATTACCAAAAACATGCGATAAATTTGAAATTGATTTAAATGATTTTGAAATATATTCAGAATTTCTGGATTTAGAAGTACTGCCACAAGAAATTAAACTGTGGAAAAGAAAATGGACTGACGAACTAGATGTAGACCGTCCAAATTCGGCTATTGAAGCGTACATTAAATGTAATTATGAATATTTTCCAAATGTATCTTTTCTTTTGAAAATATTGGCTACATTACCAGTTTCGACTTCTACACCAGAGCGCTCATTCTCTACTTTGAAAAGGCTAAAAAAATTTTTACGAAATTCATTTGGTCAAGAACGTCTTACAGGTCTAGCACTTTTGAGTGTGCATAGACAAATTAAAATAAATCCAGACGATGTGATCGACAGTTTTGCAAAAGAAAAAAAAAAGACTGATAGACTTTGTGCTATAAAAATGTATTATTTTAAAATTTAAACTGAAAAATGACTCATAAAATTTTGTATTGTATTGTATTGTATTATAATTTTGTATTTTAATTTTAGTATATTTCAAAAGGTAAATTTTGTAAAATAATGATAAAGGTAGGTCATAACATAAAGTATAATATCTTGTGGTATAACCTAACTTAATAGTAAGACAATTTTTTTTGGTTTATGTTATGTATTAGTATTTTTTTTAAATTATTTAAAAACATATAATTTGGTTAAAACCCCCCCTGAAAATTTGTTCTAGCTACGGCCTTGCTATCCGTCACCACCTGAGTAGTGTAGACCAATCGCCCACTGATCATTTATTTTTAAATATTTTCTAATGAATAAATCTGTATATTAATATCTTTTTTAACTTGCAAGTTCCCGTTTGGACTGATATGTAACACAAAAGGGTAAACAAGCATTATTATTTATATAATTAAATAAAAAATACATAATATTATATTCTTTTGAATAAAAGTTAACAAACAGCGCTGTCCAGCGGACTTTTTTGCAACTGACAAACGGTACTAAAGCTGTAGCGTAACGCTACAACCACTATTGTAGATTATTTTGTCCACTAATGCTGCCCCTATCGATTATATTTTTAAAATATTGACTGATGATGGTGCGGCGTGCGGTGTGGCTTGATATGTCGTGGAAAACGTTATCAATATTTCTTAAAATAATTTCATTTACACGTGCGGACAAATTTTATTATGCCGACACTCAATGTTTGAATTGTTATTACTTTTCAGAATTTTAGCTGCGATGCGAAATCGAGAAGGTATTAATTTTACTATGAAGTATTTTTTTTTTGTGTCTTTGCAAGTGGGCTTTTTATATATTGGCCTGTAACAACAACGTGGTTTGCCACTTGCATAACGACTAGCTATAGTAGCAAGGGTCGCCACCACCTAGGCAAGGTGTCACACCTATCAGATATAATTACCGGACCATAGGTGGAATTTAATTTTAAGTTAATTAAAAGTATAATCTAAGTTAATATGTCGTTATATGTATAAATTAATATAATACCTCGTGGTTTATTAAACACAATTATGACAATCAAAGTTGTATATGGTTGATATGTAAAACATACCGTAGCCCGTGTCTAGATTAAGGAATAGGGATAAAATACACGCGAGTAATTAAGTTACTCGCGCAATAAAATTAATATTACAGTTGAAATTAATAAAGAAATTTAATTGTTAAAAAAAAAAGAAAATTAAGTTAAACATGGACAAAAATGCGAATGCATCAAAAACCATGTCTACAAATAAAGGTAATACAAATAAAATAAAATATTTAAACAAAACAAACGAGTATTATTACAAACATCACGGACGGTATTGGAACACATCCGTTACTGTTAATCGGAAGTTAATGAAAAACACCAGGAGCGGTCTGGACACTCGCTCCTTAGCGTTGGCTAGAAGAAAAGGGAAACACGTGCTCTCCACACATAAACAAAATTAAGTTAATTTACAATAAAATAAAATGAAATAAAATAATTAATAAATTATAGCTCATTACATAAATATAATATTAAAAAAGAAAACGATACCCGGTCTCCGAAGAGACCCATCCGNTAAAAAAGAAAATGATACCCGGTCTCCGAAGAGACCCATCCGATGGTCTGGATGCTTCGTTGAAAAGACCTGGCCGTTCGCCATTGGCGGCTCTACTCCATCATTGAAAAAAGAGTGTCAATAAAACAACAAATGTGTGCACCCTAGCACGGTCAATGACAGAAGTAAGAATAGAGAAGAGTCAACACCGATCTAACGGCAATTTCAAATCGATAACGGCCAGTCTTTTTGGAAGGGATCAATACTGATAAACAATTCGATTTTAATTATATTTCTCTTTTATCGCCTTATCTAGCGGTCAGCGGTAAAATAATGNACGCCTTATCTAGCGGTCAGCGGCAAAATAATGAGTGGTTGACACCGCTGTGTCAGAATAAGGTTCTTTCATGCGATAAAATAAATAAGTAGACATAACAAAAATCATAAACGGTCCACCTTCGAATTTGTGATGTTACAGAGTTACATCTGCAATTATAAATGTATTGCGAAATTGTCTACGAAGTCCTAGATCTAAAACCATTGTTCGTTCTCCGTAGGTCCTTATAATTTGATTGTTTGCAGTGTAAAGTACTCGAGTTGAAATGTTAGATTTGTCTAAGTTGTTAGGTTTTATTATTGAAACTTCGGCTCCACTGTCAACTAAAAATTTTTGATTAGATTTTTTGTCTAGGATTTCTAAGCAATGAGAGTCCCTCCGTGTCTCGATTGTAGGCACGGAAGGCATTTTTAGTTTTCCGTTTTGATTGCCGGTTCTGTGGTCCATTTACATGGTTTAACACATTTTTGTGCCTTACCGCGAAATTTGTAATGGAAATAACATAATGGTCCTTCTGAGTTGTAACGTGACCGAGATTTTGAACGTGAGTGGTATTTCTTGAATAAGTTCGTCTTCGCTGTAATTGAAGTTGCTTAATTTGTTGTTGGAAATCCACTAGTTTATTTTCTATATTATCTGGTTTTTGTTGTTCTTGTATCTGGTTCACTGTGTTTATAGAGTCATCAACTACTCGGTCGGCCATTTCTGCAAGTTCGTCGACAGTACTAATGAGTGGTTGACACCGCTGTGTCAGAATAAGGTTCTTTCGTGCGATAAAATAAATAAGTAGACATAACAAAAATCATAAACGGTCCACCTTCGAATTTGTGACGTTACATCTTTTATTACTTTTTCTCAGTTCTCATCGAATCGATTTCTTTCAACGATATGTCACAAATTGTATCTAGCCGAAGGCATTACCCTTAAAACTGAAAAAAAATTTCCTCGTTCTCCGTAAATAGGGGAAACCTCCAAAAAAATTATAAATTTAAAATTCGGTAATTTTCAACATTTTTTCAATTTTTTTCCTTAAAATTGTCATAACTTTTGGAAAATAAATAAATAGAAACAATTTTTTTTTAAATCTGACCCTTCGCCCGCCCACAGGGGAGATTCAAAATGACAACTTTTTTAACTTAACTAATGAAAGTGTTCCGGAAATACTGACTCTTTTATATATATTCAATTAAAGTTGATGTAATATAATTTATTATAAAAAAAAAATGTTGGACTTTATTTAGTTTTCATGGTGAAAACGGACATCAAAGTTAATAAAAAAAAAACGATTTTTATAAAAAAATTCTTTTTTATATTTCTATACATTTTTTAAAAATGTATGAATCAATACTACTTTTTTATGACAAATACTATTTTTATACCTCTCTCATTTGACATTACTATGAACAAAAAAAAAAAAATCAAATTATAGATTGACTTTATGGTGAAAATGGCTACCGTATTAACAAATATGCTATTCTTGTGTTATAATTCTCGGTTTTATATTTTATTTTATTTTGAAATACCTTACGAAGGTTTTTGAATTAGAAATAAATTTTTAATTTATTTGATTTTTATCTCATTTAGATTCAATAACTTCAATGAATATATTGTGACTCAGCCCGAAATTAATCAAGAGTAGAGTCACAACAAAACGTGGCCTCTCCCGTTAGCCAGATCCCAGAGTGGGATTCGTTGCCCAGGCCGTACCACGTAGAATTGGGAGTAGGACTTTACTATGAGATTAGGTTATGACAAACACACAAACATACAGATACAAACATTAAAAACAAAATGACCTGGTAAATCAGGCCTTTTTCGTTTTTCCGGGGCAATCCTTTACCAGGTTGGCAAAAGTACGCATATCCGCAAGGATCTGTCCATGTTTGGACAATGCTTTTTCGAGGGCGGCTATGTCCTCACCGGCATATCTCTTCTGCCCATTTGCTTGCGGCGACATCGTTGGAGTCACCTGTGGGAAGAGTGTTGCAGCAGGTGAGTGATCCATGTCTAGGACCTCTACCTCAGGACTTGTAGGCGATAACTCCTTTCACTTCATACGAATCACCTCGTCCTTGTCGAAAGTTTCAGGACTCCGATCCACCAGATCCTCCCAAACGAAACATCTCTCGTGATGGACTCTTCATCGCTAGTTTCATCGTCATCTTCTATTCCTGCTTGTTGTTTTGCAAGGTGACGCAAAACTCCAGATACCCTATAAATCGGCTTCTATTAATGAAGCAACCTATAGAGTTAAATCTTTTCTCAAGAGAGATAAACCTTCCAGTCGTTGATCATCTTCTCGAAGTCGACCACGTTGTCCTTTGTAAATAATCGCGTCAGCCAATCCACTTCTTCTTCATGCGGCTTCTCCCGCATTACACTAAAAGAAATAATAGGCCCACGTGTTTGACTCGCCACGCGTGGGACTTCGCAGTCGCTTGATGAACGTAGCGAATCCCAACGTAGCAGGAGTGAACCCGCTACGTTGAATCCGGTTTTGGAACCTTTCCCACTCACACCTGCCGCCCCACGAGGCTCTGATAACTCTGGAGGGGGGTTGGGTTGGGTTCACCCAATCCAACGCTTGTAGTGTCAATAGTGTATGGAAATTACCACTTAGCTCTAGGCTGCACTCGTGTATGAGGACGAAACAAAAGATAGATACAAAGTAAGAATAGGTACTTGAAATGTTGGAACATTAACTGGTAGAAGTAGAGAATTAGTAGAAGTATTGAAGAGGAGAAAAGTTAACATTTGTTGTGTGCAGGAAACTAGTGGAAAGGGGAGAAATCGAGGGTTTTAAATTAATAATATAATCAGGGAAGTATAGTACAAAGAATGGTGTAGGTATAATAAAGGATGAGGAAATGAAAAGTAAAGTAGTACCTGCGGGAATAGTGCTGCAGTAGGTGAGTGGTCCGAACCTAGGATCACACTGACTCTGTAGCGCAGCACAACGGAACACCTCTAATTCTACTCCTCGTAAATTTTACTATGTAGCTTAAAATATTTTTTCTTTAAATTTCTTCCAACATTCTGAAAATGCAAATTGTTTAAGAGATTTTGATGATATTTTATCTGAAATTCCAGACTCTTCCAACAAAAATGTTAAAAATATTATGTTTTCTGAAAAAATCCTTTTACATTAAAAATGCCTTTTCCTAATTAAACTGTTGACTATAGAGATTTCAAATTACCTGAAAAAAATATTTTAACTTTTTAACTTGCATTGATTCTTATGTATACATATAACCAATTATTTGATACAATGGTTTTAGTAAAAAGTCTGGTATAATAAATTAATTCCTTACATGTGGTGTTACTGTATTGAAGCAAGTTTTATTTATCAGTAAATCAAAAAGTGCACCATTTGGTTTTAACTTATCTGATCATGTGTTGTTGTCAGTAAACTGATAAAGAATTTTTCAATTACTTTTTTAGTTGTACTTAATTATGAAATCAAAAATATTTTATCTGTGACAGTTTTTTTAATATTTCTTTAAAATTATCTTTAATGCATTTAGTACTAACAATTAAGTTCAAAAATCAAATTATTATATGAATTAAATGATTTCTAATAATAGTTTAACATAACTATTATATTAAAAACCATAACAAGATTTAGCAATAAATAATTATATAAAAATAAATTTATACAAAAGTAAAAAATGAATAGTTCCTATATAACTAAAACAGAAATTAAATCCCCTTTTTTGATTGGAGTTGCTGGTGGTACTGCTTGTGGGAAGGTTAGTCATTTTGTAAAACCTTTTACTGACAAACTTTAAAGCTTAAAAAGACAATTTTACAGTCAACAGTGTGCAAAAATATAATAGAAAAACTTGGCCAAACAAATTTAGATGAAACCAGGAGACAAGTTGTATCAATTAGTCAAGATAGTTTTTATAGAGAATTAAATGCAACAGAAAAGATCAAAGCTGCTAAAGGACAATTTAATTTTGATCATCCTGGTAATATCTTAACTCAGTTTTCATACAATTGAGATAAATTAAATTTTTTTATAAACTAATGTACAGAGAAAAAATAGAAAAATTGTGTATGTTAGGGGCTATGCATAATAAGTTATATTCAAAATACATGCTATTGAATTAATAAAATATTCTCCTTAATGTTTTAACTAAAATGTTTAAAACCTAAAAATGAAAAATATATTAAAGGTAAAAAAGAACAATGGTGGTAGTCAATTTTTTTTTTCATTAAATTTATTGTTTAAATAAATAAATAGTCTATTAGAATAAATATCAAGTAATAAATAATTAAAGTGTTTATTTTGTATTATTTTTACAGGAAAAAAATTTATCAACTTCAATTTATTTTCTTGAAAATTTTATAGAAATAGACTACTACCATTTTTGCCAAGTACCCTTTACCTATTAAAGTGGTAATTTAATTGTACCCCAACATTGAAAAGTATATTATATTTTCTAATGGCATAATACATGTAAAATATTTATATATATGAAAATTCTATAAAAAAAAAAGTTTGTTTAGTGATGTGTAGTTAAGAGTATTTTAAGTAAATAATATTAAACTATATCTAAAAAGTTTTCTTCGAAATTACTTTTAATTTAAGAGAAACTTTGTGGTCATTAGTAAATCAATCGCTCTGTAAAAATTTGTATTTTGGAAAAATTTTTTAGGAGTAATTCCTGTAAATTATGCATATAACTTTTATCATATGTGTTTCATCACTGCATTATTTTTCAGTTAGAAAGATTTAACTAATATTAGTAGTTTATATTAGTTAAATATAGTTAAGTCTAATATTCTATTTTAGATGCATTTGATGAAGTTTTTATGTATCAAACAATGGCTGATATCCAAGCTGGTAAGACTTGTACGATACCTGTTTATAACTACAAAACTAACTCAAGGTAGATCAATTTTACAATACTGACTTCATGAGTAAACGTCTTTAAAATTACTAATTTTTTAATTATTTTAGAAACAAAGGTGAAGACATTGTAATATATCCAGCTGATGTTGTTATTGTTGAAGGGATACTTGCATTTTATTTTCCAGCAATAAGAGAATTATTTCATATGAAATTATTTGTGGATACAGATTCAGATACTAGATTGGCAAGGCGAGGTAATCTTCATATGAAAAAATTATCTTGTATTATACTAATTAATATTTTAGTTCCTAGAGATATTAATGAAAGAGGCAGAGATTTGGAACAAGTTTTAAACCAGTATATGAATTTTGTTAAACCTGCATTTGAAGAATTCTGTTTACCAGTAAATATGACCTATATAGTATTAATGTGATTTTATATACAATGTTTTAGAAAACCCATTTTTCAGAAAAAATTTTTAAAATATAAATTTATTCTAAAGACAACTATCACAGTTTTTCTTTTTTTTTAAACTAGGTTTGACATTTTTAAAAGTCTTCATTAAATTAATATTTCAAAAATATTCTTACCTAATTAATATTATATTAATTTATAAAAAAATGTCAGACTTTCCAGAACACTTTCAAAAGTTAAGCTGAAAAAGTTCTACTTTCTATATGCATTTTTCAGATTTGAACGCCCCCCCCATATATTGTGAAATTTAAAAAAAAAGTATGTCGAATGAAAGATGTATATAAATACTACTTCTCATTGAAAAATTGTATTGATCCATACATTTTTTAAAAAGTTGTAGCATTTTAAAGTAAAAAATGTAAAATATAAAATCGAGAATTTTCATACAAAAATAGCATTTGGTAGCCATTTTCACTATGAAGACAAAATAAAGTCTGAAATTTTTTTTTCATGATAAAGTATATTACATTAGCTTTAATTTAAGATATATATAGAAGTGCCAGAATTTCTGGAACACTTTCAAAAGTTAATTATTTGTGAAAAAATTGTCATTTTAAATCACTCCTTGTGGGCAGTAAAGGGTCAGATTTATAAATTTACCAAAATGATAGGTAAAGATATAAAGCATCTATAAAAAAAAAAATTATATTGATATGTTCATTTTTGAAAAAGTTATGGCAGTTTTAAGTAAAAAATTTGAAAAAATTTCGAACATCATAGTAAAAATAATACCTTCTCAGCTTTGCATCTAAGCTAAAATAAAAGAATTGTGATAATTAAACTTTGGGAAGTTACTTACTTTGTATATCTATAATACTAAAACTATTTAACAATGTATTCTATTATGTATGTAGAATTTAAAATGATGTCAGCATGGGTAAATGTCGAGATTGTCAATCTAATATTCCTAAAATATTGTTTTAGTAGGGTCTTTTAATAACTAAGCCCTAGTAACACAATATATCTAGGAAAAAAAGAAAAACCTACAAATACAGTTTTACTTCGCTTATCACCCATATTAATGATCCATTTTGTATAAAAATATAGCAATAGGTTTTACATAAACAAATTGTCTATAAGAGATAGAACCATTTTGTTTTATTCAATATGCCCCATAGTCTAGATTTCAGAAAGGAGGCCTTGAGAAATGATATTTTATGAATTTTTTTTTCTTTCAATAATTTGGTTAAGGTAACTTAAGCTGTCCTCTGTACTATTATTGAAATCACACTAATACTGTGTGCAAGCGCTTAATGTTAATTAAATTATTAAATTCAATTATAATTTATTTGATTATAATTATAAAAAAATTGCTTGTTTATGAAAATATAATTTTTAAGGATTAATGCTTATCTTAACTTTACATCTCAGCTTAAAATTTTAATTTTTAAGTGTTCAGCATGTTTTTATTTTTTTTTTTAATTTTAATTTTATTTATTTTCAGACAAAAAAGTTTGCTGATATAATAATTCCGAGAGGAGCAGAAAACTTTGGTAAAGCTCATTAAATAATTTAAATAATTCACAAGTATTTCAAAATTTAAGGCTAACTTTTTATAAATAAAATTTAGTACCCAATTAACAGTATATACATTTTAAAAAACCTAGCACAGGGGGGTCACAGCACAGTGGTGACATGGCATAGTTTGATCAAGTATAATGATATCTGATTGTGATTAAAATCACTAACAAAAAAAAAAACGCTTTGATGCAAATCTTTAAATAGTGTTTAATTTTAAAAAATTGGTGGATTATTCCAAAAGGTACATGCTAGTTCCTTATTAATATCCTGATTAAGATAAAGTATGTTGAATTATTAAAAAGGAATTATTAAAAAATATTATTTCTCATAAAAAAATTGTGTTGATCCATACACTATTCAATAAATTATAGCATAATAAAGTTAAAAAATGTAAAATACAAAATTGAGAATTTTTACACAAAAATAGCATTTGGTAGCCATTTTCATCGTGAAGATAAAACAAAGTGTGAAATTTTTTTTTCATGATAAAGTATATTACATTAGCTTTAATTTAAGATATATATATAAGTGCCAGAATTTCTGGAACACTTTCAAAAGTTAATTATTTGTGAAAAATTTGTCATTTTAAATCCCCCCCTGTGGGCAGTTAAAGGGTCAGATTTATAAAAAAAAATATACTAAATGAAAAGTAATGATATCATGCATCTATATAAAAAAAAATTATATTGATTTGGTTATTTTTAAAAAAGTTATAGCAACTTTAAGTAAAAAAAATTTCAAAAATTAGCGATTTTTAAATATGTAATTTTTTTGGAGGTTTCCCCCATTTACGGGGAATGACGGAAATTTTTCCAATTTTTAAGGGTAATGTCTTCGACTAGTTACGATTTGTGATCTTTTGACGTATCATTGAAAGAAATTGGCTCGGTGAGAGCTAAAATAAAGTGATAAGACACAAAAAAAAACACATCATAGTAAAACCAAAACCTTTTCAGCTTCGCATTGAAGCTAAAAATCACCAATTAAAATTTAAAATTAAAATTATCAATAGTATAAGAATTGCATTTTTAAGTGTTATTTATTTATATGTAATGATTTTGATAGTTGCCATTGATTTGATTGTTCAACACATCAGAGATTTATTAAACAGTGAACAATGCTCTCAACATGAAAATTCTGATGGAAGTATTCCGTTATCTAGTGTCAATAATAATCCATCAAGACTTCATTAACCTCAATTCAAGTAATCACTTTTAGAAGAGAAGAATTGAAATTAATATTTTTTGTATATTTTTAATGTTACAAAGAGTAGTACAATAAACATGAAGGTAAAAATGTAACTATGAAAAATATTTTGTATAAGTACAATATATTATGTATAAATTATTATTCTTGAAAAAATAAAATAACTTAGCAAACAATTTGTTTACATCAGGTTTTTCTTTATTGATAATATAATTCAATGTTCATTCCATCATGAATTTCATCTAATATATAGTTATATGTAAGGTCAAAAAAAAAAATGCCATCGTACCAACTATAAGTTAAAGAGAGATTTTATAATATTATTTAAAAACTGAAGTTTTAAACATATTTAAATATCTTACAGTAAAAAATATATAATTAAACATGCTTATATTACTTATTCATCGATAAATTTATCTTCTATTTAACAGATGTTTAGCTAAAAAAGTTGTATTATATCATTAAAATGACATGATAAAATAATTAATCTTATTGATTGGTAAATTTTGACTAGGATTAAAACGTGTTTATTATACATATTTATAGTCTGTACTACTCAACCAAATTATAAAAATTAAAATAACTATTGCTTGAAGAATAACCGTTTTTATAAAAATTATTGATCGCTTTTAACTTGTATTATTAAAAAGTTAAATATATTAGTTTTAATAATGAATTTTAGCAATGACCATAAAATCCCAATTAATGAATTTGTATTTATTTTTCAACTTTTCTATTGCATTCCTTATAATAATTTATTTGTAATTATTTACTCTTTAGTAAGTTTTATATTTAATTTATACTTTAAATTATATTGTTGATTTTGTAATTTATATTATATATATATTTTTTTTTTGTTATATTCAATTCTCCATTATTCCCTGATACTTGCTTATCTATTTATTTCTTTGTATTCATACCTTTGGTTCTAGAACTCACACTGCCATGTTGTGCTTCAGCCTGTACTTAATTAATTTAACACAACAACCCACCATGTCTCATTATACGTCCAATTCATTCATTTCTTCTATTATTGATACTACTTCACTGAGTTCTATTTTCAGACAATCTTTCTAATAATATCTATGTCTACAGAAGTTTTTTCCTCTTATATATGCTAATATTTCTTGAAGTAAAACAACTTTTTTTCGTTAAATACTCTCTTAACTTGGTATATTTGCTTTATTACTTACATTTTGCTTCTACCATCTTCACTTATTATGATTTCCAAGAATTCAAACTTGCTCTATAAATGATTGATAATATGGATTTTAATGTATAAGTTTAAAATACTCTTTCATATCACCTTAAAAAAAATTGAAATTGTATGTTTGTACATAAAATGGCAATAGTAACAAATTAACCTCTAAACCAAGCTGACAATATATATCTTTAAACATGAATATAACTTGCTCTTATTATAAACTTGTTAATATTTATGATAACTTTAAATAACAAATATTGAGAATTTAAATAAATTAAAAGTAAATATGCTTTGAATATAGACTAAAAATATGCAGTAAAAATTTTTTTTTAACTTTCAGAGAAGTTAAAAGATTTTAAATCATTAAATAACATTTTTTTTAATTATTCTAAAAATATTAGGAATCATAAAATGAAACTATATCCTTTTAATGGTGTTCCATTAAAAGGATGAAGTCAAAATACATGTTAAATAATTACTTCACTAAAATTAAAATATCCAAAGATCATAAAATTGGTTCTTTCTGTATAATGATGTTAAAATCTTAATATTTTAAAGGATACAATCTTGAAGTCTAATGTGGTCCTTGAAAATTGTGTACCACTTTTTGAGCATTATTTTTTCCCATTTTGTACCTGTTTGTGCCGCTATAAGTTTTTTTAAATCGCCAATAGTATCCTCAGGATTACATTTAACTCGGACTTTTTTCCCCAATCTATCATTACAAATAACTTCAATCATGGTACTGCTTCTATAATACAAAAATGAATAAACTTAATCACAAATATTTACTCATAAAATTTAATTAAAACATTTTTTTCGATTATTACTTGTATTTAGATGCAACAAGCTAAATAAGACCAAAAGTTTGTATCTCAAAACACGTTTTAACCTTACATAAGAGTTACACTGTGTGGTACTTTATTTGCAGTCTTTAGGTGAAGATAAGAAAGAATCAATCTTTAGGAACAAGGAAAAAAAAAGGTTGAGTTCACTTACAACCAAAATGTGTTATACTATATTTTATATCACAATCTTTATTTTAGGCTTTAGGGGATGTGTTACAATCATGAAGAGAAAGAGTAAACTATTACAAATAAAGCACCATTTAAAAAAATTAAAACAAAATTTTTTTTGATGTTTTTTTACTTAAATTTTTTTGTTATTAAAATAAAAAGCTTACTTTTTATTTTTTGAAAATTATTAAATTAATTTAACTCAATATTAATTACTGTAGGGATTATATCTATAATTAAAAATTAAATATTTTCAAAGAAAATAAAAATTATTTCATACATTTTTGTTAATAATTTATTCTAAATTTATTAATTAATATTAGAAAAAAAAGTTAGTACCTATGAATTAAAACATAGTAATGTTTGTCTTTCTGACATTTTTAATAACATTCTTCACTTTATCTTAATGATAATTTATAACAGCTTGATACCCAGTATTATGTAAATTACTTTTTTTTACTTATATATAATATTTATAACTATGAAATTTACTTGAATTAAATAACATATACCAATAAAAATTCTAATGAGACTTCACTAGAGAGCACAATTTGAAATTCATAATGATAGAGATCACAATAAAATTTTAACTAACAAGTTATCATAAAAACTTTTTGTACCTATTTTTTACTTATCCTAAACTAATTATATTCCAAAAAAAAAAGTCAACAAACATTTATATATTAACATAGCACTGTCAATTGAGGAGGCACATACCATTGTACTCTGTCAATAGAGAGCATAATTATAAATTAACCACTGATTTCAATTGATTAATTTAATTAAATTGCAAAATAAAAATATAAAAGTGAAATTGATAAAGAATAAATATATCATGATAAATAAACATAATTAAATTAAATAGTATTATTTGTGTCTTAATTATCTTTAGGCGTCTATACTGGATAATTGGTTGGAAAACCTCCCACCTAGGAGGAAGGACATAAAAAATAATTTAATTTTAACAAAATAAATAAGAGGTAACATTATTCTTTTATGTTAAACCCCCAGTATAATATTAGAAATAAGACACTAAACGGTAGAGCAAACTTTAAAAATACCGATCAAAATAGAGTAACAAGTAATTTTTGTAAATTACCCTTAAATAGTTAATTGAAATTAAAATAAAATTACTTTTGTTTCAATAAATAAATTACACTAAAATTATTTTATAAATAGTTTTGTTACTATAACATATAATTAAAATTAAGTTACTACTCTTCAATGTTGATATCTTAATCTTACTTTATAAAATAAATTAAGTGGTCAATTTATAATTTAGGCTCAATATAGAGATCAAATTATATTAATGATAAAATAATGTTATAAAAAATAGGTTATGACATTAATATGCATATATTTAGTGTTCAGTAAGTTAGGAAACAAGTTAATTGTTACAATGAGAATAATAGAAACAGTTTTCTTACTTACTGAACGCGCTACATATATATATATATATATATATTGTGCTATCTAGGAATATATTATAATAATTGTTTAAAAAAATTTGTATAAAATGACTTTTACTTTTAAAAAGATAAGTCACATAAAAAGAAAATTAGAATGAATGCAGCCAATTATGAAATTGCAAAATCGATACTTTACTTAGTTTACCAAATTAAACTTGGACAAAATTTTAAAACTGAAATTTCAGATCTTACTTCTTCAAATTAAATATTCAAAATAAATTGTTGCAAATCTTATAAATTAATTTTATTAAAATATATGTAGTGTTTCAAAGTCCGTAATGATTATTTACCTTTATAATAATAAAAATAAGAAATAATATAATTTAGGAAAATTTATAAGATTTCAAATAATTTAGTCGCTTCAATAATTTATCAAAATGATAATAAAATTTAATCGAATGATTAAGTTTACACCTATACTCTTTAAATGTTTTGCTATCAAGCATCAAGCAACCGACATAATATGCATGATACCATAACACATAATATGTTAGATAAAAAGTCCAGCACAGTGGAGACGTAGCATAGTTCGGTCCAGTATAGATAATATTTGACAGTGATTAAAATCACTAACATAAAAAACGCCTCATTGCAAATCTGTAGATAGTATTTAATTTTAAAAAATAGGTGAATTATTCCAAAAGCACCTCCTATTTCCTTATCTATATCATGATTAAATGTTTTATGATTTATAAGTGTAATATATGAATAAATATTTATTATAGCAATTAAATATAGTATGAAATTAATACTAAATAATTTAATATTGAAATTTTTTACAAAAAACGTATTTTTTTATTAACTCTGATATCAGTTTTCATGATGAAAACTAAATAAAGTCCTAAATTTTTTTTTAATATTAAAGTATATTACATAGGCTTTAATTTAAGATATATATAAAAGTGTAAGTATTTCCGGAACACTTTCAAAAGTTAAGTTGAAAAATTTATCATTTTGAATACTCCCTTGTGAGCCTATAAAGGGTCAAATTTATAAAAAAATATACTAAATGATTAATAGCTCATAAATTTATTGATAAAAATATTGTTTCAAAAAGTTATGATAGTTTTAGTAAAAAAATTGAAAAAATGTCGAAAATTAGCAATTTTTAAATTTGTAATGTTTTTGGAGACTTCCTCCATTAACAGGGAATGAAGGAAATTTTTTCAATTTTTGAGGGTAATGTCTTCGATTAGATACGATTTGTGATCTTGTGACGTACATTGAAAGAAATCGGCTCGGTGAGAGCTGAAATAAAGTGATAAGACAAAAAAAAATTAAAAAAAACATCACAGTAAAATTAATACTTTCTCAGCGAAGCTAAAATTCTGATGACATCACCATATTCAATGCAAATCAAAATTTAGACTACCCAATTACTATTTATAGAATGTTGTTCGATAAATCAACTTTTATAAATGTCAAGTGTAATAAACTAAGATGTTTGTCTATTATTTAAATTAATATAATTATGAATAAGCGGATGACAATTGAGACAAGATGATTAGCATATTTTAAAATTTTAATATTAAATCCATAGAAGAGGAGTATTCGACGAGTAGTGAACTCTAGCCATAAACATGCTTTCATAATACAAAATCATAAATTAAATACACATAGATAGGACACGGCAATCAAACAATTGGCAACCGATTTTTTGTTAATTTATACCTGTAGAGATAGCGATGTGTATTCTCTCGAGAAATATTAAATATTTTATAATAACTTCCACCTTATTGATATTCAAGTAATAGCCGCGATTATCGATTAACGGCTAACACCGCTAGCGCAAATTAAGATAAGAACCAGTTATTATTAAATGGCAATTGCTTGTATGATTTAAATGAAACATTTCGTTATAATAACAAATTTGATAAAACATAATGTATTTTTTATTTTATTAACATTAATTTATATTTGACTATTATTTGTTTTTTAAATTATCTCTTAGTGTTATGGATCTTAACTTATTATATAACAACTTTCTCGCTACCGAATTATCCACTGTCATGATTTTTATATTATTTGATGTTTAATTTCTTAACTTACCAGTAATCAAATGTAGGTGTGATATTAATTACTAATTACGCATTTTATAAAGTTTTTATATATTAAATTTAGTAATTTATTTGTTCAAGGATACAATGAAATATTAAAAAAAAAACAAATTATAAATATTTTAGAAAAAAATAACTAACAAAATTATTTGCTCATAACTCTTACAGCTTTGCAAATAGCAGTCTAAGAAGAAAAATAAACGGTAGCACAGTGGGGTCGCGGCATAGTGGAGACATTGCATAGTAGGGTCCAGTATAGATTTAATCTGACAGTGATTAAAATCACTATCATAAGAAACGCTTCGATGCAAATCTGTAGATAGTGTTTAATTTTAAAAAATTGATGGATAATTGCAAAAGCAACATCAACTTCTATTAAAATAAAATACAAAACCCATAATTATCATACAAAAATAGTATATTTTTCAATATGGTAGCCATTTGCGTATAGAAGATAGATCGTCGGGACAAATTTTTTTTTTTCATTTTGTAGTACATAAAATAAGCTTTAATTTTATATATGTTTAAAGGACGCAGTATTTCCGGAACATTTTCAAAAATTAAGTTGAAAAAGTTATTTTTTGTAAAAAAGTTACTATTTTAAATCCTCCCAGTGAGCAGAATAAGTGTTAGATTTTCAAAAAAAATTATATCAAATGAAAGGGAAATATCTAAGGTTTCAATACAAAAAAATATTATTTTTATTTGTTCATTTTTGAAAAAGTTATGGCAGTTTTAAGTACAAAAAACATCCCGATAAAATGTAATTTTTATCGCAAACATTACATTTTTTTTTAAATTTTCGACAGCCATTTGCACATAGAAGATAAGATGTCGGGACAAATTTTTTTTTTTCATTTGATAGTATATAACATAACCTTTGATTTGATATATGTTTAAAGGACGCAGTATTTCCGGAACATTTTCAAAAGTTCAGTTGAAAAAGATCTATGTTTTTTACAATATTTTAAGTTTTGAACGCCCCCTATATAAGGGGAAATTGTCCAATTTTAATAAAAAGTATGTCAAATGAAAGATGTACTTATAATGTATTTAGAAAAAAAAAATTTGTGCTGATATATACATTTTTCAAAAAGTTATAGCATTTTTAAGTTGAAAATTTAAAATCGAAAATCGAAAATTTTAACACAAAAATAGTGTTTTTTTAACTACGGCAGCCGTTTAAATGTAGAAAAAAAAGTGTCGGGACAAATTTTTTTTTTTCATTTTGTAGTACATAAAATAAGCTTTAATTTGATATATGTTTAAAGGACGCAGTCTTTCCGGAACATTTTCAAAAATTAAGTTGAAAAAATTAATTTTTGTAAAAAAGTTGCCATTTTAAATCCCCCCCAATGAGCAGGTTAAGTGATAGATTTTCAAAAAAATGATATCAAATGAAAGGTAAATATCTAAGGTTTTAGTATAAAAAAAAATTATGTTGATTTGTTGATTTTTCAAAAAGTTATGGAAGTTTTAAGAAAAAAAAGTGAAAAAATTTCGAAAATTAGCGATTTTTAAATTTGTAATTTTTTTGGATATTTCCCCCATTTGCGGGGAACGAGGGAATTTTTTTCAATTTTTAAGGGTAATGTCTTCAACTAGATACGATTTGTGATCTTTTGACGTATTTTTGAAAGAAATCGGTCCAGTGACAGCTGAGAAAAAGTGGCAACAGAAAAAAAAAAAAAAAAAACACATCATAGTAAAATTAATACCTTCTCAGCTTCGCATCGAAGCTAAAAAAAAAACACATCATAGTAAAATTAATACCTTCTCAGCTTCGCATCGAAGCTAATAAAGCATTTTATTTAAAAAAAAAGTTCTGATCACTAAAAATGATGAAATAAGTTAAGATTTAATATATAAAAATATTAATTTTCTCTTAGAATCTTTAATTTATCCACGATGCCCATCTTATAAAATTTTGACTTCAAGTTCAATATTCTAAAAAGTTTACAATATATTAAAGTTATAGTTAAATATTCCAAGTGTGGTAAGCAGTTTTGTGAAATATTTACTATAAGATATAATTTATTTGTAATTATACTATTTAATTTAAAACTTAGTTGTGTTGTATACGACTTTTCATATAAAAAATGATGAATTATCTGTTGAACATTAGTTACAAAATTTATTAAAATTTCTTTTGGTTTTTTCAACTTACCAGTAGTTATTTGATTTTGTGTTTGAAATGTTTTATAAAAGATTAAAAATTATTTGTCATTGAAAAGAATTGTATCCCCTTTCAGAAATGTATTTTCACATCGTTTACATGAAAATTTATCTAACAATTTTTTATCGAAGTATCCAGCAAAATATACATTTTAGTAGGTCTCTAAAGTTAGTGTAGGATCAGTATTCAGTTGTTCTTGTATAGTAGGACAGGAATTAGAAAAGGAAGATATTTCAAATGTGTCTGAACTATAATCGGAATCAATAGAATTTTCAGTTGTAGGGTTTGTTGATAAACTGAAAAAGTGTTTTCTAAAACATCCTGATTTAACCTACTAGTTATTAAATTATCGTATCCTAAATTTTGCTGTTGCTCAAATAACATTAGAACAGTGTTGATACTCCATAGCAAACCAACAAAACATGAAGGTTTTGCTCTAAATCTCTTAATAGGTTTGATAATCTAAGGTCACTAATAATAATGTTGACTTGTTTTAAAAAGTTTATTTGTTTGGGATATTCACTATATAAAATGCAATAAAAAGGATTTTTATAAAAAAGTTTTGTACTGTTAAGATTGTCAAATAAATCATTCATGTTTTTAAGAAAGTCTGCAGTAACAGCAGATTTTGACAATTTAATTTGTCCAGTACTTATACATGTTTTATTATCACTGCGGACATTGCATTGCCAAAAATTTGTAGCGCTATTTTACAGCTCATTTTTTGAAAAGGGTCAAGTTGAATGTAGCTATTATTAATTTTTAAAAGAGATTTACTGGTTCCATTGTTTTTATCTATGTTTATCTTTCTTTAATATCATTAAATGATACTTGATTGCCTCTATAAATAAAATTGTATTTTAAAAAATTATTTCTTAAACTCTTAAACAAATGCAGTATATCTTAAATTGAAAATATTTTATTTTTTTCCAATTCCAAAAATGGTTTTTCTACAAAAATACCTAAGTTTTTTTAACAAAACTGTATTATTAGTACCTAGATCACAAACTATTGTAGTCACAATTAAACCTATTTGTGACGCTTTTGAAATAACGTCTACAATTAAACTACTAAAATTAGTTTGGTTCATAGAAGTACCAGATAAGAAATATGATAAAGGTAATTTCCACCTGCTCTATAGACCTCGGCAAGAAATACCATAGCTTGAGAAGCAAAATAATTAAAACGACCTTTATATCTTAAATTTTCATAACCCTTAACACAATATAAAACTTTACAGTATTCAAGGAATGTTTTGATTTTCATTTCATCAAATGAAATTAAACAAAAATTTATCTTGGTCGGACATAAGCCAAACTTTAATTTTTTTGTGGTCAAGGTGAGCTGAATTAAAACCTGGTCGGAACTTAGAGTTACCAATCCATCTTTTTATAGATGTTATCCCAGATAAAACTATACCTTGGCAGTCTCTTAAAAACTTATAAGTTATAGGATATTTATAAAATTAATTTAAAGCAAAAGTTTTTCGAGCTAGTGAATAAATTGTTCTCAACTTATTACTACGAAACTTTTACATTTTAGCTAAAGTTTTAGAATTCTTACTTGAATATTTAATTTTTTTTTATCACTTGAACTAGGTTATTTGTACACTTTAATTTGCTTCTTAATTTACTCACAAGAAAAATTTTATTTTTCAATAATTTTTTGAACAATACTTTAAACATTTTTAATAGATATACCTGGACTAGAAATATTTGGTTATTTTTGTTCATAATTGTTCTCCGATCTTTACGAGAAACACGAGTAGATGGCATTTCAGTTAAATTGTTTTAAAAAAATTCTAGTAGTTCGTGACAAAGTAGAAGTTAGGGGTGAAAATTAGTGATGATAAATATCGAATAGTAACTATCGAACTATTCGAAAGTGATTAAAAAAATATTCGATAGTTACACAATATTATATGCTATATTGCTATATATATAATTAATAAATAATTTAATTACATTTTTAAAGTAATTTCAAGGTAATAATGATACTTTTATAAGAAAAAAAAATGTTTATTAAAAAATAATAATTCATGTGTATAACCCCCAATGTAGTCAATAAATTGTTCTAATTCATCATTTTAATTATATTTGATATTTTTATACCTAAGCAGGAGGAAGAGTACGACGTGAAAATATCTAGTCATATAAATAGATCCACACTCTATAGAATTAGGTATTCCATTTAAAACGTGACTGACAAATATTGAAATAAATATAGTTAAAAAAACACGCTTTTAAAGCACATCGAACTAAAAAGTTAGAAATAATTTTTAAAATAAGCTTAAAACAATAATGAACGAAAAATACTAGTATTATTGTGATAAAATCGTCGGGCCCTCAATATACGAAAAATATGGCACAAAGCACCCACGGTTTTATCACAATAATATTAGTACTTTTCGTTCATAATTCTTTTAAGTTTATTTTAAAAATTATTTTTAACTTTTTAGTTCGATGTGCTTTAAAAGCGTGTTTTTTTAAACTATATTTATTTTTCACTTTTTAGTTTCATGTTGTGATAGTAGTTACTATCAATATCTTGGTTGTTACGGGTAACGGGAAATCAGAGTTCGATTCCGGAGAGGGAGTTTGAGAAACGGCTACCATATCCAAGGAAAGTAGGGGGCGCGCAAATTACCCACTCCCGGAACATGGAGGTAGTGACGAAAAATGACGATACGGGAATCATCCCCCATAAACGGAATGAATACACTTTATATCTCCTAATTAGAATAAAGCGTGTTAATATATAAATTTTAATAGTAATTAGAATATATATATATACATGTAAAGCGACTTAAGTACGTAAACGTATCATGCACGAGGTATAGCCTTGTTTTGTGGGCGGGGGGAACGTTATACCTAAGGTACAAACGGTGGCAGCGGCGGTAGGAATATATAAATATATATACGTAAGGCGCATTATATTCGGGTGGTATTGGTCAGTCAAAATAAAAATTTGTTTATATATATATATATATATATATATAATATTGATGATAAGCACGCGTGTACGGGTACGATAACCAAAAATAAATTTATACAGGAATAGTATTGCCGTCGTGTGGTGAGCGAGGAGTGGGGTGGGGTGAATGCGTTATGACGTCCAGTCTGAAGGCCATAGACGACGGAATATGTGGTAACCCGTGGCGCTTGGAGAGTTACAAACATACATACATACAGGTGAAACTAATATAAGCGTGTTAAAACCCAACACAGGGAGGTCGCAACATAGTTGGGACGTTGCATAGTTGGGTCCAGTATAGATTTAATCTGACACTGATTAAAATCACTATCATAAGAAACGCTTCGATACAAATCTGTAACATTTAATTTTAAGAAATTGAGAAAATCGGTGGCCATTTTCACATAAAAGACAAGGTGTTTGGACAAATTTTATTTTTTACTTACAGTACTTAACATATGCTTTACATCAACTTCTATTTCCTTAATTTTACCCATATTAGTAATTCTTTTAATATATAGTATATAATTTTTAAAATTGTTTTCAAATTATTAGCTTCGATGCGAATCTAAGAAGCTCTGGTTTTACTATGATGTGTTTTTTTTTTGTGTCTGTTACCACTTTTTCTCAGCTCTCACCGAACGGATTTCTTTCAACGATACGTCAAAAGTTCACAAATTGTATCTAGTCGAAGACATTACCCTTAAAAATTGAAAAAATTTCCCTCGTTCCCCGTAAATGGGGGAAACCTCCAAAAAAATTACAAATTTAAAAATCGCTAATTTTCACATATATTTTCAATATGTGGTAACAGACACAAAAAAAAACACATCATAGTAAAACCAATACCTTCTCAGCTTCGCATCGAAGCTAAAAAAAGGAGTTTAACATAAGACGACGTCTACAAAAAAAGGAAAAATCATCGGAATCTTGTTAGCCCAGTTGCATCTAAGTCTATGTTGTTAAGATTACAGCAACCTTTAGTAATTAAAATGCCGAATATTTCCATAAGATTAGAACTTTTAAATAACTATATTTGTATTCCCATCATTCCACGAAGTCATATAATTTATAACAATTTGTGTCAAATACCTATTACCGGTTGACGTGGTGCAGCTTTCGTTTATACATAATGTGATGTATTAGGTAATGGAAAACGTTACAAGTTTGCATTCGTGTTTGATGTATGTTACTTTTATATATTAGTAACAAGTATGAAATCGTAATATAAAAATTCATAATCTATAATAAATTACTATAGCATTTATATAAAATAAAAAAATGTAATAGATAATAATTTCATTTAAATTCAGTTTTTGAAACTCAAACTAGTGATTGAACAAATTATTAATCATGTAAAGCTTTTCCACAATGTCGATATTGAAATCGTTCCTACTATCTGATTAATCACATCATCAACACGAACAAATTTCAAAAACAAATATGATCAAATGTAATTAATAATTTCATTGCTATTTACAGAGTTCGATTTTAATAGATTTTGTAAATTAATAATTATGATCTTTATAAAAGTTTGATTTATGCGAAGGGCTGTGAATATTTAATACTAGTTTCATATTATATATTATTAATAGTTATTATGGCTTTCATACCCAAAAATGTCATTGACAAAGCTGAAGATATCTCAGAATTGGTAAATATAATATAATATTATTAAATCTGTGGATTAATTTTATTAATATTTGATAATATATCAATATTATATTTTAATTATTAGTTGATAAATAAATATTCTGTTAATAGAAATTTCTCCAGTATTTTAAAATTTAATTTAATTTACGAAGACTTACACTTTCATTAAATTTAATCTGCCTTTATAAAAGTTTTTAATTGAGAAAATCAATATTAATAATATACTTCACTAACAAATTTTGTTTTAATAAGTTTTTAGTTTCTGTTGTCTAATCTAATATCTTCTTATAGGTAGTAAAAAATTGTAACACTTATTTGCCAACTGCTTCGAGACTATGTTTAATATCAACATTTATTGAAGATGGTCTTCGTATGTATTTTCAATGGTCTGAACAAAGCAAATACATGGATATGTCTTGGAATTGTGGCATGTTTTTAGCAACTATTTTTGTTCTTGTTAATTTACTGGGACAACTTGGTGGATGTGTTCTTATACTGGTACAAAAACATGTGCGAATTGCATGTGGAGTTTTATTTTTTATTGTAGTATTACAGGTAAGATTTAGATTATTACTTGTTATGTTAAAATTGTATTATATTAAGAAACTAATTTTTTTACATTATTAAGAATATGGAAATTAAACTAAAAGATTTTCTACTCTAGTTAACTTAATTATTAAAGCTGTATATAATTATAAATCACACTGAGGTTTAATTTTATTGTATACGCTGAACAGGCTGTTCTATACTAGTTTATACGTGAATAATGTTTCTCAGTAGAAAATATACTATTAATAATATATAAAAAATTGATAAAAATGAAATCAAAAACCAGTTTTGTTGATTCCAATATAGTTTTAGCAATATTAGGCTATTTTATAACTTTTAAGATGGTCAAATAAGTATATTGCCATTAAAAAAAAGTCCTTCTAAGAGATAAAGAATTAACCTAAAAAATATTTAACCACTTATAAATTGAGAAATAAATGTTACTCAACATAGCAATAGAAATCATTAGTAAATTAATATTATGTATACATTTATATAAAAAATTATCAATTTAATTTTTTTGATTTAGACAGTAGCTTACAGTATTCTATGGGATCTACACTTCTTGTTAAGAAATTTTGCATTAATTGGAGCATTATTGTTAGTTTTAGCTGATAGTGAGGTGGAATCCAGACCTTTACTTGCAGGAGTTCCATCATTAGGTATGATTTTGAAGTAACTATTATTGTATAGTCTTATTGTTTGCAACCTTTTTTACTAATTTTTTTTAGGCGAAAATAAACAAAAGAACTATATGCAATTAACAGGCAGATGCTTGATCGCGTTTATGTTTATCACTTTATTGAAATTTGAAATTTCATTTTTCCAGGTAAATGTTGTAATACTATATGAAAAATAAAGGGTAGTACTAAACACATACTTAGTATGTGTTAAGCGTTGATAATGGTAACATTATTACCAAAATACGTATATCCACAATTTTTTAGTAGTTTTTTTGTGGCTTAAATATTTTTAATATAATTTTAATTTTAAATTATTGCCTTTTTATATTTTGTGTAAAGCATATTTTTATCTTTGATTCAAAACTGAATAGTTATTAATTTTACTATGATGTGTTTATTTTTATCTGTCGTAATTTTTTCTCAGCTTTCAATGGATGGAATATTTTTAATAATATGTCAAAGGAACACAAATTTAGTTGAAGAATTATTTTTATTTTTTGAACATATTATCCTCGTTTTATGTAAATAGGGGAAATTTCCCAAAAAATTAATATTTTCAAAATCAGTAAATTTTAACATTTTTTTCTTAAATCAGTCTTAAAAAATATTATTTCTATTGTATGAGTATTTGAGTGGGTTATGATAAAGAAATCATTTTGTATGTTTTTCCTTTTATGCGACATATTTTTTTTAATTTAAAAAATTGTACAAAAGAGAATCTAAGTTGGGCTTACCAATTATCATGAATGTTATATGGTTGAAATTTACATTGAATATAAAGTTCAACTTATTTTGAAATTTTTGCCAATGTCTCTCTTCTAAGTCGAGAAAAATGACTTTAAAAATTTTAATATTATATATTACTATATTTTATGCTAAGTTTAGTACTATAAGAGGGAGTGGGTATGTACCCCATTTAACACTCTTTTACAAGTAGAAAATTATAAAATTGATTTAATTTTTAGTTGAATATTTTTATAGAAAAATTGTTTGCAATTTTTAATGTTAATCCAATATGTATAGTAAAAGGAAGGGCATTTCTAAAATGTTCTTGCTACCAATGATTTATGATAAATTGAGGTAACAAAATATAGAGTAATTTTTTTAATATCTACTTTTAATCACTCAAATTTTTTTAAAATAATAATTATGTTAAGAAAATCTCAAGTGTTAAGCCGACCTTACCGCCGTAGGTGAACGGATGGGTGACCATGTGTACGTTTCTACAGTGACGAAAAAGCACTGTTTCCAGTGCAGGAGGCAATGGGAAATCACTGCACTTAATTTTCCAGGATAAAAAATACTATGACAAGGTTTAGCCTTTAGAAAAAAGAATATATCATCTATACTTATCCCAACTAGGCCACATCCTGAATGTGCTTTTTTTCTTATTTATCATTAATAAGGAAAAAATAAAATAAAATTTTTCATTCTTACTTTTTTCTGAATTTTAATGTCATTTTCTAACCCTTTTCTTACAAAAAATGTTGAAGGTCAATAACAATCTTAAGACAATTCATTGAGTTATAAGCATTTTAATAAATCAAGGGGTTGGATATTTAGTGAGGGTGAGTGCAGCTTTTACTTGTGTATATTTATAATGTATACCCCTACTGTGCTAAACTATATTTATTTTT